AAAAAAAGGGGGGGGGATAATTTGTTGGGTGTAAATTCTGGATAATTTCGTCCCAATTACAGAAGGTACCAAAATGAGAAAAGAGGCGTAAAAATTCTGAATTATCAACACACTATCTAACAAAGCATCATACTGGCTGGCCTATATTTTTCCTGTTTTGAACTGAGAACAAAGGTGCAGTCTTTTGAAAATCAAGTGTATGAATTATAAACATTTCCTGGCAGACACATGCCCAGCGTGGGAAACAGACTGATAAATACAAAGGATTGTATATAACTCACTAAACAGAATGGACGTTAAACTCCCAAGGCCAAACTTCCTCTACAGCTTCAACTCCTTAAGCGCTGTATTTTCAAGTGAAGGAAACCCCCCCAAGATAGAAAACCAAGCATTTTGCAGATAGGGATAAAAGAAATCTGGTTATCAACCAGATACTCCAAAGAAAAGGGAGCTAGGTTACAATGAAAACACACATTTTATAGTTGCTATGCCAAACCTGATGTTTTTTTCAGCCAGGGTATTAGTAGAAACAGATCTAAAATTACTTTGAAGAGGGAAGAACAAGTAAGCAAGCTTATGTGGAGTTTATAAACTCTATAGTTAAAAGAATTGTTCGTTCCCACCCCTATCGCTGACCTGATTGCCAGGCCTCTGGAGAGATGGAATTACTTCACCCATTTACGTAACACCAAAAGTCTTAAATAGATTAAAAAAATCCTCCCTGGGTAGGCAGCACCCAGATTTAACAATTAACCACAACCTCGTATTCTGACCTGTGTTACATTTCAGATAAATTTAGGATCAGACCATAGAGGGGTTTGGACTTTTATTTTTAAAGTTCACCAATTACTCATGGCCTCAATAAAATGAAGAAATCCTTCCTTGCAGTAACTGTAAATAAACAGCCTTCCTGTTTTGCAAACCATTTCAATTGCACGGTGCTTGCCAATTAAAGTGAAAGCCTAACTTGCAAACATTTACAGTTAAGATAAAACTTTCACTACCACCCCTTTCCTAAAGATATTGACATTTTTGTTTTGAAAGGAAGGGGAGCTGCATTTCTCTGAAAAGCTGTTGCTGAAGGCCCTTGAGTGAGTCTGATTCTTTTCGCTCCTTCCATAAACTGTGAAAATAGCATTTATCACTTCAAATTCTTCAACTGCTGCAGACAGAATTCTGCCTTCATTCACTAATATTAGGAAATACATTGTGCTTTACACAGACACAACTTTCCCTCAGCTCCCAAAACTGTCTTTAGATAAACACTTCTAGGAATCCTACACGATGCAAGGAAAATATATACAACACCTTCCAAAAATAATTACTGGCTTCTGTCCAATGCAAAACTACTATATAATAAAACCCCACAAAGTATGAGTTATCATGCTGGAAGGAGGTTAATCACCATAACACAAAATTGTGTATGCTTCCTGGAATCCAAACTACTTATGCAAACCTCAGTTCTTTCAATTGCAAATTTTGCAGGAGTGCACAGGGAATAAAGCAGGCCGTAGGTGTATTTGATCTTTTTCTCCATCCAGGTGACAACTCCTTCCTATTTGTCCCCAATATTCTCCAACTTTCCTTCAGGAGTTTGGTGTGCAACCCCATCAGCCCAACCCACTTTTTCTGGGAACGAAAGTAATTGCAGCATGTATAATCTTGGGTGTAGCTATGGCTGCTTTTATCGTAGGAAAATTCAGATCAGGGAAACAGCAACTGTCCCAGAAAAGATAGCCAAGTTTAAAATACAAGCCCATCTTTTATTTTTCCTAGCATAAAAGACAACAGCATGATGCTTTTTTTAAAAAAGCTGTCTATCAGCTATTATCCATGCCAATATAAGGATCCCAGCATTAGGGATTCTGTTCACATAATCATATCATCTCAGACTTCCATCCTTCTTCCAAGGTTACTCAAATGAAGAACCAGATTGTTGTGGGGGCAACATGCCGACTCTGTAAACCTCTTAGAGAGGGCTGCAAAGCTGTATATAAGTCTTAAGTGCTATTGCTAGCTATCCCACCCTGGGGAAACCTGGTTTCCATTAAACCCAAACAAGGACTTTGCTGCTCTTGGGAAGGCCCCCAAAGGCACCTGCCAAGACTTGAGCCTTTAACTTCCCCGGAAACAAAAAAAAAAGATTGACAAGAACCTAACTCCCACATCCGAGGCCCAGTCACAACAGACTCTCCAATTGTTTAACGATTAAAAAAAATACAAAAAAAAATACAAGGCCTTCTCCCAATAGTTTTGGATCTCAGCCAGGTAGTCCAAGCCACATCTTCCTTCCTTAGTCCACCTGTCGGTTTCCACCTATTGTCCAGTCACTGGACGACAGGGCTCCCTGGTCACTTTTGCAGCCCTGCCCTGCTTTCTGGACCTTCACCAAGGATGGGGAGGGTATCCAGGGATGCCCCTTTGGCCCAGAGGGGTTTCTTGGTTAGCCCAAGCAGGATTTTCGGCGCACCCACCCAACCCACCTCCTGCTTCCCTTCCAAGGAAACACCTGAGGCTCCCTGGCACTCAAACCCACCTGGAACCCAAAACTTGCCTCCTCCCCTCCCTCGGCTGGCTAGAAAGACACCCCCGCCCCCCCAGGGCATCCTTGCAACCTAGGAAGGTGGGAAATACGTGGAGGGGGGAACCACCTTGTTGGGGGCAAAGGGGGAGGGGGTGTCTTAAAAAGTGAAAGCTTTTGCAACACAGGGGACACGCAGGGGTGTGTGCATGCATGCATTCGTGTGCGTGCAAACGGGGCAAAAAAATAATAACCGGGGGGGGGGGGGGGGGGGCCCCCCCCCCCCCCCCCCCGGGGCCCGCGGGGGGGGGGGGTGTTTTTTCTCCCCCCCCCCCCCCCCCCCCCCCATTTCTCCCCCCCCCCCCCCCTTGGGCTCCGTGCAAAAAGGTGAGGAGGGGGGGGGAGAAAAGCCCGAGGGAGGGGCAAGGGCCGAGCTTCCCCCCGCCCCCCGCAACCCTGCAGCGACCCCCCCACCCCAATTTGCCCCCCCCTTTCTCTTGGCCCCCTCCTGATCCAGCGTGGGAGGGGGGGTGCTTCTGGAGCCCCTCCCCCCAAAAAAAATAAAGGGGTGGCGGGGGAAAGTAGGCCTTGCCCCCCCCCCCCCCCC